ACGGTCCACATCTTTTAAGTAGAAGCAGTTCAGTTTCTTTGTCAAACTCTATGATCAACCAAGGAAAACAACGTGTTTACCTGTGTCACTTTTAAACACTTAAGACCGTGAATGTTTGGGCCAAACGTCATGGTAATCCATCCAGTAATAGTTGAGATATTTCAGTAAAATTAGTCTGGTTTCTTTGAAGAGAGCAGTGTTCACTATATTCTACATAAAGTGTTCACTATATTCTACATATAGTGCAGCAGTACAATGGAGAAGAACATCATAAAACATCTGACTCTTCTCCCTTTAAAACAACCAACAGAGACAAACAACAAGCGCCCAAAATTCCTTCAAGTTGGAAGAAGACCAGTTCTCACCGCTCATTAACGAAGGCGGCGGCAAAATAAGTCGTAAAAAACATCTACCAGAACAGAAACAGACATTTTTATTCATACAATTAAACTTTTCAACTTAACAGCTGTTTTCAGGCATCACTTCCTCTCGCTCGCTGCCAAACACTCAGAGAACCAGCAGTTCTTTTGTTGCTCCTTCGATGTGGAGTCGTGTCTGAATGGCAGAACGTTACCAGATGAGATGAATCAATGTTTCATTTATCAGCCACTACGAGTCTGAACACGACCGGTTCTTATTTTCTAACCACTTTTTATGCACATTTAAACTCTTGTTTCTCTCCACGGGAAGCCTTCATGTGTTTCTCATTTTATTCACTACTTTAGTTTTAACATCTTATTTCTTTCGTCTTGTTGGAAACATCTCTCAAGCTTGAAACCACAGATGATTCAAAATGTAAATGATTAGTAACTGTAACATGTGGTGGAGACAAAATAACTCTTCTGTTTTAGTTATAGGAGTTTGATTTTTATGTTTACTTTTTTAAATATTCACTAAATGCATTTAAAGACTTTGTGTGATTCTGTAGATAATCAACTGACGAGATTCATTAAAGATATTTTATGAGCAACGCTTCTGTTTCAAGTTAACGTTATTGTGTGTGTGTGTGCGTGTGTGTGTGGGGACTATATTTTTGGGGGGAGGGGGACAAAATGCAAACTTGCATACACAATCAATATAAATGCAAATAATGAAATGCATAAAACATAACTACTACTACTTCCTCCACTGTGCACCAGCTGATTACTGCTATTTATACAGTAAGTTAAGATACTTTATGTTTAAACCTATAACTTTGAATTGTGGTTTTTATGGCTCTTGTTGTATTTTGCATTCTTTCCTCTGCAGCTTCTCCAACAGTTCGTGGTCACTTCAGTCTGTATTTATGGTTATTTCATAAAGAATTTCAATGAAACCATCTCTATTATTTGTAGTTTAATGGAACAATTCCCAAGACTTGGTTTAAAATCAGCGGTACAGAGAATCTGAATCAGTAGATGTATTTCTAAAACAGAAAGTACAGAAAGCTGTTGACAGCTGGGAGACAAAAAAACCTGAATTCAAACTAAAGTTCAGTTTCTTTTGTTGTCTTTGTGTGGAGATGAATAAAAACCCAAATAATTTGAGGGAACTGATCCTTTAATGAAACAAACTCTGTTTTTCCCATAAACACTGAATGGTTCGGCGTCAGACAGACAACAAGCTGAGGATGAAAGATTGTGATTAACATTCATCACATGCAGACAGCATGGGAACAAGTGTGTGTGTGTGTGTGTGTGTGTGTGTGTGTGTGTGTGTGTGTGTGCTCATTAATCAGTGTGAGAGCTGCAGGTCGTCCGCTGAATCGTTTGTCATGACGTTTGTCGTCTTTGTGCGACACGTTCAAACCCTTTTCTCTCTCCCTGTCACAGAGGATAAAGGGAGATAAATGACACCTCATCACTCATTATTCTTTATTCATTATTATTTATTCTTTTTATTCCTCTTTCGGTCTCTCTCACACACACAAACGAGGACGACCCAAAAGTCGTTAGCGTCCCTCGTTAAGACAAACGATTAATTATCTCATCTTTAGATTTCTTGTGACTTCATGACTTTTCTTCCACTTTGTTTATCCAGATAGATCAATAAAGATAAACTTTATTTACAGAGCTCTTTTCATACAAGAGATGTAGTTCACAGTGCTTATAAACTTTACGATAAGATAATAAAAAGGCAGTAAATGATATGATATATCAGTGAAAGTGATAAGAAACAGGTCATTAAGGCATTAGTTAAACAAAGACAATAAGAGTGATTATTAGCATTCCATCATGCTTTCATGCAACACTGGTGACAAAAACATGATCCAAACATCATCTGGAGCTAGCGTTCTTTCCTGCGCTGTGACGAGATTAAGTGGATGAAGCATTGAGTTGGTACTCATTTAGAGAGTGGCTAGTTAGCTATCTAGCTTGCTAATTCCACCATGCTTTCATGCTGATGCGACACTGGTTACAGAAAACAAGCCCAACAGCGGGCTGGTGGTGCTGCTGGGTCTAACGGGAGCTCTGGGGACCAGCTAGCAAACTATCTGGCCCTGGAGACGGACAAGCTAGCTATTCAATTATCCAGCTCTGAAGAAGAAGTAGCTTGCTTGCTCACGAACCAACTCTGGAGACGGACAAACTAGCTAGCTAACTAAATAGCTCTGAGACGGACAAACTAGCTAGCTAACTAAATAGCTCTGGAGATGGACAAACTAGCTAGCTCACTAAATAGCTCTGAAATGGACAAACTAGCTAGCTTACTAAATAGCTCTGGAGATGGACAAACTAGCTAGCTCACTAAATAGCTCTGAGACGGACAAACTAGCTAGCTCACTAAATAGCTCTGAGACGGACAAACTAGCTAGCTTACTAAATAGCTCTGAGACGGACAAACTAGCTAGCTTACTAAATAGCTCTGAGACGGACAAACTAGCTAGCTTACTAAATAGCTCTGGAGACGGACAAACTAGCTAGCTTACTAACCAACTCTGAAATGGACAAACTAGCTAGCTCACTAAATAGCTCTGGAGACGGACAAACTAGCTAGCTAACTAACCAACTCTGAAATGGACAAACTAGCTAGCTCACTAAATAGCTCTGGAGATCGACCACCTGTACTTTGTGTGGAATTTGTTGTGGTAAATAAATCCTGATGGTCACAAAAACAACAGGATTTGTATTTATTACATTTATTACACAATACAGGAACCTCCACAACATTTCTAGCGCTTTTTTTTTGTGTATTTAATGTTTTAAATCCAGAGGATGGATTCATTCATCATGCCATCACGTTCAGGAAATAACACATTAACTCTCCTTATAAACATTAACGATGACTCATCACTAATTTCAGACCAATCGGGACTTATTTCTCTTTTAGGTTGCTGCAGAATCACCTGTGAGCACGATGCTAATTTAGCTTTTGTTTGTAATAAACTGTGTGTTTTATCCTCTAAATGTCTCCAAGTCAAAACTGCTGGTGAGCATTAACACGCGCACACACACACACACATACACCTCGTCCTCTCACACTGTCACTCAGCTTCCTTCTTCACTTCGGCTCAGTCGGGGTCACATCAACACACATCTCATCCTCCTAAAGTCATTCAACACCAGTCAGGCTGCCTCAGCAGGGGGGGGGGGGGGGGGGGGCTCAGTGTGTGTGTGTTTCCATAATCCAAACCCTTAATCCCCCAAAATCCTCTTCTTCTCTTTAAAGGAAAAAGAAAGAGCAGCAGGAGAACGAATGAATGAATGAATGAGTGAGTGAGTGAGTGAGTGACAGAAAATCATTGAATTACCCATAATGCTCGGCGTGTGGCGTCCCTCCATGCATTCAGATGCTTGGACGAGAGTTTTTAGTCATTGAGTTCTTTTAGTGATGAAGGACTTTAGTTCAACCATTTTCCTCCAACGTTAACGTGAAAACACACTAAAATATATAAGTGATAAACCACCACTCAGCTTTTGTTTTTGTTTCCTCATCGTAATATATCGATACAATATCAATATCGTGATATTCGACTACATATCGTCTTATATTTGGGGTATTGTAATATTGTAAAATGGCGTAAATGTTGTGAAGAAGAAGATCCTGAATAAATCCTGAAGGCTGAAATCTAAAACTACGTTTTTACAGAAACAAAACCAGAAAATCTGTACTATACAAATGTATAGTTCCATGTTAATAAAAAGGCTCTTAGAGAGCAGCTCACTTTGGTTTTATCAAACAAACTGGAGCCATTTGTTTGGGACTATTTTCAGCGGCGGATCAGACTTTTGGCCTCTAGTCAGCCAGCGGTGAGCTCGTCTCTGTTTAACCAACGGGAGCTGAGTCTGCAGTTCACACACCGCTCTGTGTGTGTGTGTGTGTGTGTGTGTGTGTGTGTGAAGCCATTTGGTGGTTGTAGGGAAGATAAACCGCTGTGACCTCAGCATTGCTCCGTTTGAGTGTCAACCACTCGCTGCAGAGTTCCCATGATGCTCCACAATCACGTGTGTGTGTGTGTGTGTGTGTGTGTGTGTGTGAGAGCAACATTTTGCTGTGGTGGAAATTCTGAGTGCATTTGGTTGGCTGTGGTTAGGTGAGTGTGTGAGTTCTTGCACTTCTAGCTTTGTGAGGACCAGGGTTAAGTTCTGCACAGTGAGGACTTGTTTTTCTGGGCTTTTCATCTCCTTCCTGTATAATACTTCTACAATATGTATTTAAACACGTAATCAAGGTGTTTTAATTGACTGACTTTTGAAAAGTCACGTAAAAGAGAAATTCTGGAATAAAAAGTGCAAAAAACTTTTTTCTCGTTTTCCTTTCTTCTTTTTCGTTTGTTCTATTTAAACTGATGACAACTTGATTTCATCTTTAACAGTTATATTTTATGAGATGATGTTTGATGTAAAATGTGATTTGTGTCAAAGCATCATCAACAAATACGTTCAGTCCACATCACAACATCCAGAAATACATGAAACTCTACAACTCGGTTCCTTTGTGTCCTTCCTCCTACTCCTCCTCCTCCTCTCTCTCTCTCCTCATCTTCCAGTCTGTCATGACGTCACGCGGTCCTCCTCCTGTCTCCGTCTCCAAATGTCCCTGAAGGAGCAGAGACCTCCTGAGAGGAGCGAGGGAGGACCGAGAGAAGACGGACCCGACATTCTTCTTCTTCTTCGCTCCTTCGTGTCGTCGTCATGCTGGACACGCTCACCTTCCTCCTGGAGAAGCTCTTCCTCCTCGCGCACATCAAGCTGTCCAGCCTGCTGCCTCCTCTGCGCCGCCGAGAGCCGCCGCTCACCAGGCGCTGCGACCGGGACGAGGCTCCCGTGCAGCCCGCCGGAGCCCCGCACAAGTTCCGCCGGGGGGACCTGCTGGAGGTCCCGCGGACTCTCTTCACCCACTTCGGCATCTACCTGGGTGACGACCGGGTGGCGCACCTCATCCCGGACATCCTCCCGGCGCTGACCGCCGACAGCCGGCAGATCCAGGAGATGGTGACCAACGCGCGGCTGCTGCTCGGGGTGCTCTCCAAGCGCGCCACCGTCCGCGTGGACTCCGTAGAGGACTTTGCGTACGGAGGTGGGATCCTGCTCAACGCCATGGACCGGGCGGTGCTCCGGAGCCCGCTGTCCGAGGAGGAGGTGGCCCTGCGGGCGGAGCGGCTGGTGGGCTCCGTGTCCTACAGCCTGCTGTGGAACAACTGCGAGCACTTCGTCACCTACTGCCGCTACGGCACCGCGCAGAGCCTGCAGACCGACAAGGTGAGAATCCGGCTCCGGGGTGGCGCTTTTGACGCGTGCGGTAACACGTTCCTTTCATTTTTACGCGCGTGATTGGAGGCGGGTGCTTTGATGTTTTTGTTGTTTCCGCTGCTTTTCACACCAGAGATCCAGCAGTTTGTTCAGAGATGGAGAAGTTTAGAGGAGTTCACACTGAAGCCTCGCGAGCTGTTAGTGGAACATTCTGCTTTTAAAGAGTTTTCTAGTGAAGCTGCTCTTTCTGGGGATCATGTGCGCTTTTTACGCACAGAGGGGGGTCTCCGTGTCGGACTGCGTGCAGCTTAATGAAACACAGAGAGCTTGTTCTGTTCTTTAGGTCGTAACTTCAGTGGGTTCACTGGCTGCTGGTCAGATCTGTAA